GGGGGGTAGAAACTGGTGAGAGGAACAGGAGACGACTAGGTCTGACTCTGATCCCAATCCCGACTGCTGCAACTTGCAGCATAGCTATTCCATAAACATGCTTTTGAGTACCACTTTTGTACCTCCTAATGCATAGTACAAACTCTGCATGATTATTTGTCTAGAGCAGGTGTGGGCAAAATACAGCCCATGGGCCAGATCTGGTTCACCAATTGATTGCATCCAGCCCACAGCTGCCCATGCAGTACTCTGCATGGGACTGAGCCCCATCCACTCCACCTGAGGTACTGCACCACGCTCCCACTGGCACCCACCCTGTGCCCACTGAGAGCCTTAGCCCTGGCCAAAGCACATAGCTCCTTGTTGGGGCTGCTACCGCAGCCACCTACAATACTGCTCAACTTCCCCTGCCTCCAGCGGTGGCTTCTTCTCCTGATCCTGCTGTGCCACTTTGGGTAGCAGGTACCACAGGGAAGCAGCGACAGACATGGGGACATGTGCCTAGTCAGGTGGCTCCTGCCTTGGTGTGCAGGGCTCCAGCTCTAGCCACCTTCCACCCACTCCGCCTGCCTGGTGCAATGAGGGCAGGGGCAGGAGGAGAAGCTGCTGGAGATGGCGGGAGCCAATTGGTGCCCAGGGAGCAGCAGGAGCAGCCTCACGGAGAAGCTGTGCATGCTAGCCAGGGCTGGGGCTCTGCTGTTGGCAGGCAGGAACACAGCGCAGGCTACCCCAGGTGGGAACAGGCAGGGTTTGGCCCACTCACCCACACGCTCAACACCCCTTCACCCTCCCCGCAGTGTACAAGTGTAAGACTTTAAGACTTTATTTTGAGTTGTTATGCAATTGCCTCTACACTACTCAAAAAAACATAAATCGGGACAGAAAATATTTTTTGAAATACAATTAAAACGTTACAGTAGATTGACTTTTTTAAGTATACGATTTACCTTTTATCTATAATTTTTTTAAATAATATATTTCTGACGGATTTTTGTCTGTGGCCCTTGACAGCTCCACAAAACTTAAGTGGCTCTGCAGTTGAAATAATTGCTCACCCCTGGTCTAGGGCCAAAAGGCTTATAAGTTATCATATAGGTCACTGGATTGGGCCACAGCAGAGTCAACAGTGTTTCAAGTCATGATGACCCCACAGCCCAACACTGTTTAGTATGTGTACTTCAGATACCCCTCACAAAGGATCCACATGCTAATTACCACCTCACTCACAACTGGAAACAGGTATCCTTGTCAAGTCTTGGGACCCTCCAAAAATGTTTATGCAGACGAGATGCAGGGCTGCCTGGTCCATCTTCATCTCATAGAGGGAAGGACCGTACTTAATTGTATGTGACAGGGTGAGAGAGGGGCAACAAAGTCTTTCGGCTACATAGAAGTTTGGTGATGTTTGCCAGATGATTAAAGATCACAAAGAAACAGAAATCATTTGCAGTGAGAGAGAGAGAGAGGCACTGCTCAGGTGTGGGAGTGAAGAGGTTGAAATGTATTCGATGTAGCGGTTCACTATGACTTGAAAAAGACTTGGCACTGAGGGGACTGTGCTTAATGGGCACTACCATGTGTCATTCTCAGATTAGTGCAGTTCATCTTTGTGATAGGTTTCCATCAGCATCTCAGCCTTTTGGCTAAGATCAAGCATTTCTGGCACCATGGGAGCATGTCAGGGTTGGCTCTGTTTCTCCTGGTTGTTGAAGCTTTTGTCTTTGTAGGTAGGTTAGCAGTATAACTCTTCATTTTCCTTGATTTCCCTCATTCTGGCGTACACCTCTTTTATGCTACGTACATGCTTTGTGTTGCTTAGGGGAGCTCAATCCATTTGTATTATTGATTGCATCATATGGGTTAAATCTGCTCCCAAAACTGGGGATCTTGCCAAAACAATGTTTGTTGAACCGATCTTTTTTTCTTGCAGTCACTGAGGGCCAAAGTGAACAGTGTCAGTCTTTTTAAGGCCCCTTTAACATGTAAAGCTACCATATTAATGGAACCTAATACTTTGCCCTGTTCAAGTTCATGAAAAACAGGCATAGTTTCATAGCTAGTAGGGTCAGAAGGGACCTGAGCAGATCATCAAGTTCGACCCCCTGCCATGACAAGAAAGAGTACTGGGGTCAAACAACCCCAGCAAGGTGATTGTCAAGCCTTGTCTTAACACCCCCCAGGGTAGGAGCCAGCACCACTTCGCTTGGAAGTTGGTTCCAGATCCTAGCTGCCCTGACAGTGAAGTAGCGCCTCCTGATGTCTAATCTGAATTTACCCTCTGCCAGCTTGTGACCATTATTTCTTGTCACTCCTGGCAGTGCTCGGGGGAACAGGGACTCCCCCAATGCCTGCTGGTCCCCCCTGACTA